CCGCCGCCGCCCCGCGCGCACACGTTCCCGCGCCCCGTTGGCCGCCGCCGCGCCCGCCGCCGCGCCGCCATTGGCCGCCGGGGCCGTCACTCAGCCGGGCGCGAGCTTCCGCCGCGCCGCGCTCCGATTGGGCGGCGCCGGAAAAGGGGGCGGGGCCGGGCCGTGAGGGCAGAGCCGGGGGGGGGCGGGGCGGGGAAATCCTGAGGGATCGAGGGGAAACAGCGGGAAATAACGCTGGAAAACCAGCCTGCATTCGAGACAGTGATACATAAGAGCGATTAATTCTCTGTTTGAAGAATAACACAGTAAAAAATCATGCTGGAGCGGCAAGGATAAGGTGAGAAAATGGCAGGGATGAGATAAAATCATTCCGGGTTTCGAAGAATAAGATAAAATCCTTGCGGGATTGAAAGAATAAGGTAAAATAATCGTAGGTTTGAAAGATTAAGATAATTGTAGATTCGAAAGATTAAGAGAATAAAACCGGTGTGGCATGGCAAGAATTAAGACATTCACTCCAGGGTTGCAAAATTATGATTAATTAATTCTAGAATCGCAAGTATAAAACGATTCCAGAGCTTTCAAGAGTAATACACAAGAGTAAAATAATTCCAAAATTGCAAGAACAAGGTAAGAAAACCATCCTGGATTGGCAAGAATAATATAGAGTAAAATAAATTAATTCCAGAATTGTAAGAAGAACGTGAGAAAATCATCCTGGGTTGGCAAGAATAATATATAACATAAAACTACGCTGAGATTGCAAGAATAAAACATAATAAAATTGTTCCGGAATGGTAAGAATACAAAATTCATTCTAGAATGGCAATGAATAAATTCTAGGGTTGCAAGAGTAATTTATTCTATATTTGCAAGAATGTATGAGGAAAACAGTTCTGGAAAGCCAAGAATACAAGAGAAAAATCTTGACTTGCAAGAATAATGCATTTAAAATCACTGAAATGGCAAGAATACAAGAAAATAATTCTGGAGTTGTGAGAATAAGTAAGAAAATAACTCCAGAATGGCGAGAATAAGTTAAGAAAATAGTTCTGGAATTTCAAGAATGATAAATAACAAAATAATTCTATGATTACAAGGATAATGCATCATCATTCCAGATTTTCAGGAATATAAGGCGAGGGTCATTCTGGAATTAGAAGGATAATCTGTAATAAATAGTTCCGTATTACACAATTATAATGAAGTAATTCTATAATTATAAATAATGGCAAGAGTTCCTCTCCTAACTCTGTACTTCATGTCCCAGCCCCCTCTCCTTGGTGGGCAGGGGCCAGTTGTGGAATTTGGTGCCAATTCCACGGGATGTGCCGGGCACAGGGTGCTCTGGAGGGTCCCACCCTGTCCCCCCTGGGACCCGCAGGAGGGGCTGGGGGAACATCAACACTCATTTCCACCCTTTTCACCGTTTCTTGCCCCAAAAAGGCACCTCAACAGAGCCAAACTGAACATCCTGGGTAAAACTCCAGCAGCTGGAACACTGGGATAAGAGAGTTCCCTGTCACACAGGCAGCACATGGATGAACACATTCCAGATTGCTCAGCTGAGAGCCTGGAGGGACAGGACAAAGGGGAATGGCTTCCCAGTGCCAGAGGGCAGGCTTACATGGGATATTGGAAAGGAATTCCTGCCTGGGAGGGTGGGGAGGCCCTGGCACAGGTTGCCCAGAGAAGCTGTGGCTGCCCCTGGATCCCTGGAAGTGTCCAAGGCCAGGTTGGATGGGGCTTGGAGCAACCTGGTCTAGTGGAAGGGATCCCTGCCCATGGCAGGGGGTTGGAACGAGATGGGATTTAAGGTCCCTTCCAACCCAAACTGTTCTGGGATTCT